CAAATACTGGAATTGGACAAATATACATTAAAATTCTGAGTTTGTTATTACAATAAGATGGCATTAATTTTAAAAATTATCTCTTTGCTTATCTGTTTTCTCATCTATACATTATGAGCTAGGAAGAAAATTGCAGTTCGGTATGATAAAAGTAAAGTTTAAGCGTAATGTTTATACAATGCTTGGTTCACAGTAGATTTATAGAAAATGTTAAGTTGATTCCATTGGGGATGCTAAAGCAAAATATCATAGACTGGGTAGCTTAAACACAACAGAAATGGATTGTTAAGAGTTCTAGAGGCTATACATTGCCTGGTGGCACTGTTCCAGGTCGCAAACTTCTTGTATCTTCATTTGGCAGAATGGTCAAGGGATCTCCCTGAAGCTTGTATAAGGCACTAATCCCATTTCCGGGGGTTCAGCTCTCATGACTTCTCAAAGACCCCACCTCCTAATGCCACCACAATGGATATTAGGGTTCAATATATGAAGTTTGGGGCCACACAAACATTAAGATGTTATCTCTTAGCTTCTTTGATCCCTTTATTGTCACGATCTTCCATATTTGTCCTTTATTGAATTCTATACAGCAAGATAATTTACATTAAAATAAATGAAAATAGTCCTGGGTATTTTGGTTAGAGTGTCAGCCAGTGGATAGAAGGGTCACAGGTTTAATTCCCATTCAAGGGCAAGCACCTGAGTTGCAGGTTCCATCCTTGGCCCAGGTTGGGGTTGAGCGGGAGGCAACCAATCAATGTGTCTCTCTCACATATCTCTCTCTCTCTCTCTCTTCCCCCCTTCACTCTATCTAAATATCAACAGAAAAATATCCTCAGTTGATGATTAACAAAAAATAATAATAAAATAAATAAATGAAAATACATTTAATAAAATTACTCTACAATATACATGCCGCCATGACCTATAATCTTGCTGCAGTTTGGTTTCAGCTCTGACACAAAACATCATTCCAGAAATTTTTAAAAATAAGCGCCATTGCTATACAGATACATTTTTATGAAATAATAGTAGGAGTTCGATGATGCAATGGAAATTGATAGAAAGACAGCACACTTTTTTGAAATGTAAAAATTTTACTGAAAGAAAATTATTCCAGAGTTTGTCTTTAAACAATGAGGGATTAAGTAAGAAAATGGGTAGTGAAGTGATGTTCAGATTAAGGTAACAACTTAGCCAAAAATTAAAAGTGGGTATGATGCATTGCAGAACAACTTCCACAATTCCTTTGTCCTGGTTCTCTTTTACAGACAACTCCTAAAACCACTAAAAAAACTGTCACTTAGTTTGGAGGTACTCTTCATTTATTCAAACATTTCTAAAAATTACACTTGGGAATTCTGAAAATGTAAAAGAAGTGTAGTGTACCTGTAGAATATTTCCAAACTTCTAAATAAAACAGAAGAAAAACTAGGATAACAAATAAAATTTCATGGACACTTCCTACAACAAAACTAGTAGGCAAGTCCCAAAATATGAACAGATGCAGAAAAATCAGAGATATCTAAAGATCCATGGGTTATCAGAATCTCTATAGAAGGAAACATAGTGAGGGGCAGGACATCTGGTAAATCTTAGAACCCAAGGTCAGCAAAAGGGATTCACTGACAGGCATGGCAGGGCAATCTACGAATAGCTGCTGACCTTGGGTAGGGTGGAGGCTTGCACACTGAAATACCCAAGGGGTTTCCAATAAGATCTGAAGGGCCTGATACCATCCAGTTTTCACAACTCTCAAACAGAACCAACTAAAACTCCCTGCCTGAATCAAGCTTCTTACTCAAAAAAAGTACTGGGAGTAAAATATCTATGAAGCAAGACTAAGGTGATAGGACCAAAGAAAGAAAATATTGCAAACAAATAAGTGTGAGAGAAGCAGACCAGGAGATGGCAAACATAAGAGGCCATACTATTGAACACGATGAAAACAAACAGAGAGCCCTGGACTCATTAAGTGAGGAAAGCTATCTTGACATGTTTTCACCTCATAAAAGTCCAGGAAGATTAGCTGCATAAAAGTACCATCAATAGGGCACATTTTTAACTTCATATTTATAGAGAGTCCAGAGGGAAGAAAGTAGATTTTCAAAAATAACAGTCCTGAGTATGACTGCTCACAAGGTGGCCTTGAGAGATAGTTTCTAGACAAACCACAGTGCCAGGGCTACATTGACTTTGTAGCCTTGTGTTCCTGCGTTGGGAGAACATGGCTTTGAGAGGTCCTATACACTTCCTTCCTTAGCCTCGCAGCCCCACAGCCACACCTTCCTGGATAGAACTACATCACTGCGTCTGGCCACCCCTAGCTGTTCCTGAATGTCAATTCCTTCAGCATTTCATGATCCTCTCCTTTGCACACCTCCTCTACTCCTTAAAGTCTTTCCGTGCAAGAAGCTATCTACAAATTATTTAGTCCTGACTTAATAGTGAACTTTTCTAAGAATTTGTTAGAAACAGACAAAATTTACACAGGGCACAAGTTCGCTAATTCCTAATTGTAGACTACACCCAACTCTCACAAGGGTTTATTACTTTTCTAAATGAAACAAAGAACTCAGATTTGGGACTGGGGTCCTTGAGGCAGCTCCAGTATATCATCTGCAAATTAAAGTCAAGGTTTTGGACTTAGGAAACGACTCAAGAAAGGCAGACGTGGGTGGGTGAAAAATGAATGATCTGAAGGAGATTGTATGATTTTCCAGAAAGTCAATTGAACCATCACCAAGACCTACAACACAAGCTAGGCTTACTGAGGCCAACCAGAAACTTACCAGGACTCGAGTGTCCCCTTAGCTCTAAGGCTAAGACCTCTGAATCAACTTTGGAACTTGAAGGGATCAGTTGGAAGCATGGCCCTCCACATCTCCCGATCATGAGAGAAAATTCTAGAAGGCCAGAGTCCCTATATCAGCAATCTCACTAATATGTGGAAATGTACTGGTCCTGCAATCAGTCCCATCAGGGGTCTGAACCACTACCTCATCCTGTCCCAGTGGGCCTGGGTGGTGGTAAGCCCACAGGGACTTCCCCAAACGGTCCTGTGGCCAAGGCCCTTTGCATAGTTACCCTCTGGCCCTTGATTGGCCTCATGAATTGGGTCTCCAACAGTGAACCTGGAGAGAGAGAAAAGAGGTTTAGTATTTCTGGAGCTGTTTGGGTTTAAAAGCAGAAAAAAATATAGGTACAAGGGAGCTCCCATAGTACAGTCAGCTGATTTTTCAACAGAAATTTTGCCAGGTCAAAGGGATTGGCACCAAATACTCAACATGATGAAAAGCAAGGACCTACGATCAAGATTACTCTACCCAGCAAGGCTATCTCTTAGATTCTAAGGGGAGATATATAGCTTCCCAGATGAGAAAAACTGAAGGAGTCCTTTACCACCAAACCAGTGTTACGAAAAATGTTAATGGGACTTCTTTAATAATAGTAAGAAAAAAAGAGCAAAAATATAAATAATAAAATGATAATAACTACATACATATCAATAATTACTTTAAATGGCATAAGGTGGCTGAATGTATAAGTTAACTAGATTTATTCATATGCTGCCTACAAGAGACCTCCTTCAGGTTGAAAGACACACAAAAATTAAGGGAGGGAAGTTGTTTTTCATTCAAATGGAAATTTAAAAAAAAACCTGAGGTAGCACTATTTATATCAGAGAAAATTAACTTTAAAACAAAGGCTATAACAAGAAACTAAGAAGTAAGTACCCAACAATTCCACTTTTGGGAATTTAACCAATGAAACCCAAAATGCTAATTCAAAAGGCATGTATACGCATCCCTGTGTTCACAGCAGCATTATTTACAATGGCCAAGATATGGAAGCAACCCAAGTGTCTGTCAATAGACAAATGGATAAAGAAGATGTGGTGTTACAGACAATGGAATATTACTCAACCAAAAGAAAGAATGAAATTTTACCATTTGCAACAACATGGGTGGACCTAGAGGGCATTATGCTAAGTGAAATAAGTCAGACAGAGAAAGACAAAGACCATATGATTTCACTTATTGATGTGGAATTTTAAGAAGAAAATAAACCAACAAAAGAGAAATAAACTGGTAGGTACAGATAACATTTTGATGGTTGCTAGTTGGGAGGAAGGTTTGGAGAAGGGATGGAAAAGGGGAAGGGAGTAAGATATACAAATTGCCAGTTATAAAAATCATCTCAGAGATGTAAAGTATAGCATAGGGAATATAGTTCATAATACCGTAAGAACTATGTATGGTGTTAGATGGGTAGACTTACTGGGGTGATCAATTTGTAAGTTATATAAATGTCTAATCACCATGTTGTACACATGAAACTAATGAAATATTTACTGTATGGCATGAGTAATTGACACGCTTAAAAATTATTTTAACAAGTAAGAGCAGAGGATTCATTCTGTCTGTAAAGAGAACGGAGAATGTAGTATATGTCCCATGACACATACTGCAAAATAATCAGCTCCAGGACAGCTATCTCTGTCCAACGTCAGCCATCCCAGCAATTTCCAACCATTCTACCTAATGGGTGATTCCAGAAACTGAGATACTCCTATTCCTCCCCCATAAATCTCAGGCCATTATCTCCCATTTCAAAACCAAACTAAGCAAAAAAAAACAAAACAAAACAAAACAAAAAAACCCAAAACCTGGTAGGCACATTATACTGTGTTTTTATTTAAAATATAAAATGTTTTAAAATATAAATGCAGGCAGAGTTCCATTATGCCAACTACACACCATATGATCAATACAACAAACTGTCATTCTATTTGGGGATAGATAAAGGAGACAGCAGTGAGAGCCACCAGGAATCCATTTGTACTAAGACAAGCAGATATTGGGGCATTCAAGCAAGTGAGGCTGGCACATTTGATTGGCAGGAAGATTCACTATGAGAGAAAAAAGGCCAGGAGATTCAACATAAGGAAGAAAATCCAAGAAATTCTTGGGTGGAACTAAGGGAGCCAGGAGGCAGCCATGGGGTCAGCTGGTGGCTACATCGTCACGTGGTTCCCTTTGGTGGATTTGCAGCTAAACATGGAAAAGAGAAAAGAGGACCAGGTCATCCTGTCAGTGACACATGAAGCTGAGATTAGCTTCATCTCAGTGCTAGAAGCATCCTGAGCCTTCAGAAGAGAAAGGAGAGCATGTCTAAAAGGTTTGGGAATGTCAGAGACATGTATCTCATCAGAGTAATACTCCCCAGTCTCTCCAGGTCTCAGCCCCCAGCCCTCTGCAGGGTCTAAGTCTCTCCACCTACATCCCTGTCACTTCAGTGAACCCTAAAGTCCTTCCTATCCCAAAAATTGAGGTTTCCAAGGGGTTAGGTTGGTTGGAAAGTAGTGTTACAGATAGTTAAGATTCCACCCTGGGACAGATGATCATTCCAGAGAAGACACAGGCTCTGTAGTCTTTCACCACCTGGACCCCATGTGAAGGGTGGCCCTGCCCACCAGCCATGCCCCAGAAGGGCCAACAATACCTGTAGCTTCCCAGCTGATTCTTAGGGAGTTTGCCTGGGAGGACTTTTGCCCATCTGACCTCCTGTCTAGGAAGCCCCATGACTTCTGATTGCTCACCTCATTCACAAGAGTACAGTTTGAATGTAATTGCTGGTTGAAATTTTCATGTTAAGAAGAAAGACAACAGTAAAAGTATCAGGATGTATGTGAAAGCTTCACCCACTTCCACTCATTATTATTGACTGGAGCCAATTCTCGCTGAATGGGAGGACGATTTTTAGATTCAGAAGAATGTAACTACAGTGGAGCTTGAGTATTACTCAGAATGCAGGAGACACAGAATGACCCAGGAGTTTAACAGCTCACATGCATTATTATACCCCACTGTAGGCCTGCCAGGCACTGAAACCCCTGGCAGGCACTCCTCCTCCCCACCCTGATCCAGCTGCTAGTGGTGCCAATTCCCTGTTGTGAACACCACCAGAAGTGAGGTGTGGGTGGGTAGGGTGGTGGCATGAACACAAACCCTGGGCACAGGTATGTATGTTGGGGCAGGGGGTGGGGGAGGTGTGCATGTGTCCATGTTAAGAGAAAATTTTTAAAAAGGAAAAAACATGATAAAGACATAAAACCAAGCCACAAAGAAATATAGAATGAAAATACGTACTGCTAAAACCTCTACTCTCATTGTAGTTCAGCCACAACCTTAAGATACAATTAAATTTATTGAGAAGCAAAAAATAATAGTGCAACATGATGGCAAGCATAGATGCCAACTCAAGAGGATTACTGAACAAGAATAAATTAGGAGGTCATGAGGAGCAAGTCACAGGAAAAGTTAATTTCTATAATGTACTAACTCAGAGTTCAAAGGACCCCTATTCAAAGAAGAGACTGCTCCATCTGACCCAGCTCATCAAAATGTTTTGGTTCTTTCTTGTTTTTCACAGTTAGAAGAGGTTTAGACAATCTTCAGGGAAATTTGTTAGCTCCCTCCAAACTTTTGATCTATAAAGTCACTGTGCTCTGTGATTTGGGAGTTGGTTTTTTTTTTTCTTTTTTAAATTTTTAACAAATTTATTGGGGTGACATTGGTTAATAAAATTATATAGGTTTCAGGTGTACAATTCTATAATACATCATCTGTATTGTGTGCTCACCAACCAAACTCATGTCTCCTTCCATCACCATTTATCCCCCCTTTACCCTCTTCTACCTCCCTCCACCCTTTGTGAAGTCACTACAGCCAATGTGTGTTTCAGAACACTGAACCAATGGTCCACAATATTTTTACAGTTGCATACCTATAACTCAGTTCCTCCAGAGGTGCTGCTGTTGAGTAGTAAATTTATCTTGAAAGTCAATCAAAAGTTTTTGAAATGATTTTGTGAGATATTTTTAAGTTTAAAGAGGCCACAGACAGAAAAAAAGTTCTTTATAATAAAACATATACATACCAAGTGCTTATAAACCACTTCAAACTAAAGGTCAAATTTCTGATAGAACTCACAGTTATTTATTTATATTATAAAACATTTATATTTAATTGCCTTATTAAGAAAAAAGCATTCTCCACTACAAAAAAAAAAAAGATAAGCCCAGACTGATGTGGCTCAATGGTTACAGCGTCACCCAGTCCACAGAAGAGTCACGGGTTTGATTCCAGATCAAGGGCAGGCAAGTTCCATCCCGGCTGGTCTATGAGTTTGGGAGGCAACCAATCAATGTGTCTCTTTCACATCGATGATTTCTCTCTCTCTCTCTCTCTCTCTTTTCCCCTACTTCTCTCCCTTCCACTCTCTCTAAAAATCAATGGAAAAAATATCCCTGGGTGGGGATTAACAACAACAAATAAGATTCATAATTAGCATAATGGATTCAGGGGGAGCACAGAAGAATTTTTTAGGACAGTGAAACTATTCTGTATGATATTATTATTGTGAATGCATTTTAGTATAAATTGTCAAAATCCATAGAATGTACTTCATCAAGAGTGAACTCTAATGTAAAGTATGAGATTACCTAAAGGCACTCTGAGTGATAATCATGTGTCATTGTACTTTTGTTAATTAGAACAAATATACCACTCTGGTGTGGGATGCTGATAATAGGGGAGGCTATGCAGGGGTGGAGAGAGGGAACATATGAAGAATCTCTGTACTTTCCACTCAATTTTGCTGCAAACCTAAAAAGTAACCTATATAATCTTATTAAAAAGTAAAGTCTATTTTTAGAAAGATTTATGCAAAATACCTATTGTAGTTAATATAGTTTAGGTTTAGAGTGAAGGGTCACTGGAAGTCATACATATTGGAGGTCAACTTATGGGAGTGTGAAAAAACGTAAGATCAAATATGGCATTAGATAAACCAGGCTAATTATTTACCACCAGCAGACGTTTCTTATTGTTTCCTTAAATAGATTAAGGGATTATATAAATCCAAACAAGATGACTTGAACTTCTGTTTATACCTATGATTACCTAATCTCTGGTTAAACGTGGAGTACATACAATATTTTAGGAAACTTGTCTAGCCTTTGGAAATTCTACAAAGGGCTTAGGAATGAAATTCAGTCCTCCACATTTTCCAGAAAACAAAGACCCTCACTGGTGACCATTCTGATGTCAAGTTACATCCACTAGTGAATGGCGTCCTGTAAAGCAACCTGCCTGGTCAACTTGGACAACTTTTCCTTTAACACTATCATCATAAGACCATTTATACTGGCCATCTGTTGGAATTTAGAGAATGTGGGTGTGACTATGGCTCGTAGAAGATATTTTATGCTCCACTCATAAGGGACAGACAGCCCACACACTAAAAACAAATTAGTATTATGGGCTTTATCATCTCAATTATTTTCATACCTAAACGGCACAAAAAAAACTGGTTTCATTTTATGGGGACAATGTTTGTATAAAGAGGACATCAATTGCAGTAGGAACCGTGTATAAAGATCTGTAGTAAAATATATCTCAGTTTTTCATTCCTTCAGTCAGTGACCTGGAGTTTAAGATATGGTAACCTGGGCAGCTGCAGTAGACTTATAATCTCAGTAAATCAGAATTTCATTCATAACTCATCAACTAGTACATAAAACTATTGAGAGATGTAAAAGGCAGTGAGCTGTTCTTCAATCTCAGAGACAACTTCAAGTAATGTTCTCAAAAATTTAAAAATGGAACTGCCTTTTGACCCCGCAATCCCACATCTGGGAATATATTTGAAGAACACTGAAATATGTATGCACCCCCTTTTTTTTTATTGGAGTGTTATTTACAATAGCCATATTCTGGAACAGCCCAAGAAGGTAAAAGGACTAGCAAAGTAATACCCAAAAAGCATATATACATAGCACATAGATGCAGACAACAGTGTGGTGATCGGCAGAAGGAAACTGGGGTGGAGGTAGATGGAGATGGACAAAGGGATGGAGACTTTGCCTGGGGCAATGCACACACTCTGCAGTGTGCAGATGATGATTTGTTAAGCTGTACACTTGAGACTTGTATGTTTTCATGAACCAATGTCATCCCAATAAATTCAATTAAAAAAAAAAAACTCTAAAAGAACTACCAAGATTTCTCCAAGTAACAAAGAGTTGGGTTTCGTGAGAACCTCTGAAATATTTTTTAAATTTATCTTTATTGTTAAAAGTATTACAGGTACCACCCCCCCACACTTTCCCCTCACTGACCCTCTCCTCCCTGCTCCCACCCTGCTCTCGCCTTCCCCACCTACCTCTGAAATATTTTAAGTTGGGTCCCTGGTGTGCTAGTGAGCAGTACTTGCATCTCAGACGTATTAGGAAGTGAGCTAGGATACACTGTGCTCTGCAGGTGCCATAAAATACTTTCCCGAGTTCATCTGAAATCCAGTCCTGACAGAGCTTAGACATGCTGCATTCAGGCTCTTGCTACCCAGCATACTGAGAATGCCAGGTTGACAACTGGCGTTAGGGTCTGGGTTTGTTCTAAATCTTTCAGTCAACAGTGGTTCACATGAGCTGAAAAGCAGATGACCAGGCATGCCTGATGTGGGCGGTTTTTCCTAAGTGTTCACATCTAGTTCTAGCTGTCCGGGGAGTTCTGAAAGCAGTTCTCTAAGTGTTCACCTTCAGCAAGAAACACTCACCAACCCTTCCCTGCAACCACACTCATGTCAACTGGAATTCATCAGTGGTTGCTAGTTACAAAATCAGGCGACTCCACTCAGGCTGTGGAGGTGCCATAATGTAGGGCCAGTCTGGTGCCAGGCATATTAACATTTGTTACAGCTCAGGTAGCTGCCCTGGGTTATCATAGCATCCCCCACCTGTCCCCACCCCATCATGTGAGTTGAACTGAAGGTCTGTTTATCCCAAACTGGTGCAAACTGAGCTTCCAAGGGAATCTCTAGTCATCACAGAGCACTCGTGCGTTTTTTTTGTTTGTTTCTTTAATTTTTTTTTCCTTTACTGATTATAGAGAGAGGGGAAGGGGGAGGGAAAGAGGGATGGAAACATCTATGAGAGAGAACATCAATTGGCTGCCTCCTGAATGCCCCCACACTGGGGTATTGGCCCACAACCTGGGCATGTCCCTGACCAGGAATCGAATCAGTGACCTCTTGGTGCACGTGTCAACACTCAACCACTGAGCCA